ATCTCAAAATTCGGATGTGCCAGGTAACCACAAGCGTTTCTGAAATGACAGGTCGCCCAGGACTGATCTATCTTGATCCATTTCTTCAGAACTTCCCAAGCCGGCTGTGCACTTACCTGATGGTATTCGTTCTCAGGTTCTGCAATCTTATTCATCGCTGCTTTCGTCACCGTGATGGTTAAACGCATCGCAGTTAATGTGTGTAGCATCTCCAGCTCATCTTCGCGCAGTTGAATTGCTGACGAATATCCTTTCACAAAGGCTGTGGCCGCTTCTAAAGGATCGTGTTGATGCATCATTGCGTAGGCCAATGCTATCGCGACATCGTTGATTGTTTGCGTTCGAACGGCATCTCCAAAATCAATAATCGATTGCACGGTTGGATTCGCCAAGTCTTCGGAAACCACAATATTGTTGTCATTTACATCGCTGTGAACAACACTCTTTCTCAATAGTTGATACGGTCCCTGAATTTTCTCGAAACGCTCCAAAAACTCTGTAAGAATTCTCTTCTCCTCCCCTTCAAATAATTCCAGCTTCTCCTTACACCATAGAGCATTGGCAATATCCCACTCAAGGTAGCGTCCGGCATAAGGGTGATCGAATGAATCCAGGGTTTTAGTGAGTTCTCCCGCTTTTTTACCAAGATTGGTCAACAATCTTCCTGAAATTGGATTCACCGATGACCAAAGTCGACCATCGATCCAGGAGAGTAAACGAACGATACGCTCTTCACCGTGTTCATCGGTAATCTTCGAAATGTGATTTCCATCTACGTCTGTAAATGTCTTAGGAGAGGCCTCGCCTAAACCAGCTTCTGCATGGCGAAGTAGCGCGGTTTGAAACTCCACATAATCCATTTCGAGTTCAGGACGACCGACTTTCAAGAGATACGCCTCATTCTCTGTTTGAATCTTGAAGTTAAAATCCAATTCTCCCGGCATGAATACTGCCGTTCCCTCAATCCCGTAGCGTTCCTTAGCAATTGCTTCGGCTTGCTTCGTTTCAATTTTGATGCTGGAATATCTTGTTTCCATGTTACTGATTTAGTAATAACAATAAGTAGTGTGCTGCTGACCAATTAAAGTTAA